GGAGGGGGAGCAAATACGGTAGAAGACAGAGTCAGGATACAGGATGATCTTGGCAGGCTGGAAAACTGGGCTAAAACAAATAAAATGAATTTCAGTGGGGATAAATGTAAAGTTCTGCATTTAGGTAGGAAAAATCAAATGCATAACTCTAGGTTGGGGGAGACCTGTCTTGGCAGTAGTATGTATGAAAAGGATCTACGGGTCTTCGTAGACCATACACGGAACATGAGTCAGCAGTGTGATGCAGTTGCTAAAAAGGCAAATGCAATTTTGGGCTGTATCAACAGAAGTATAGTGTCCAGATCATGTGAAGTGATGGTACCACTTTACTCTGCTCTGGTTAGACCCAATGTTCCTTCTAAGGAGTCTTGTGAGCAAAAATTCTACTTTGTGAGCTACTGGCATTAAAGTTGTGAGTGAGCAATTTGGTTGCTGCATAAACTAGTTTGCTCTGGAGCCATCCTTCCTGAGCTAAGACAAAAATATGTGAGCTGGAGGCTAAAAAAACTGAGCTAGCTCACACTAACTCAGTTTAGTGGAAACACTGGTTAGACCTCACCTAGAGTATTGTGTTCAGTTTTGGGCACCACAATTTAAGAAGGATATAGACAAGCTGGAACATGTGTCCAGAGGAGAGCAACAAAGATGGTGAGGGGTCTGGAGACCAAGTCCTATGAGGAAAGGCTGAAGGAGCTGGATATGTTTAGCCTAGAGAGGAGATGACTGAGAGGGGATATGATAACCAAGTACTTGAAGGACTGCCATATAGACGATGGTGTGGAGTTGTTTTCTGTTGCCCTACAAGGTCGGACCAGAACCAATGGGTTGAAATTAAATCAGAAGAGTTTTCGGCCAAACATTAAGAAGAACTTCCTGACAGTTAGAGCGGTTCCTCAGAACAGGCTTCCTCAGGAGGTGGTGGGCTTTCCTTTTTTGGAGGAGGTTTTCAAACAGAGGCTAGGTGGCCATCTGACAGCACTGCTGATTCCGTGAACTTGGGCAGATCATGAGAGGGAGGGCAGGAAGGGTTGCCTCCGTGCTTAGTTCTTGCGGCCCTTTCTTACACGCCCAGGGAAATGCTGATGGCCACTCTGGGGTCAGGAAGCAATTTTTCTCCAGGCCAGGTTGGCCAAGGATCCTGGAGGTTTTTTTGTCATCTTCTGGGCGTGGAACAGCAGTCACTGCGGGTGTGGAAGTATTTGTGAATTTCCTGCATTGTGCAGGGGGTTGGACTTCCAACTTTATGGTTCTATGATTAATTTAAAATGCTTCTTTTAAAACATTCAGTTTTCATTAGGAATCTTTCTTCCCCCTTCTAGCAAAAAGTACTGGCCCCTTTTTGCCTCCGCTGTTTCCAGTAATTCTCTGACTTCTGACTGTCCCAGCTCCTGGACTCCTGCCCAGGCAGTAAACAAACATTCTGAAACCTCTGGGGTTTCTGCCCAATCATTATGACTCAGGCCAAGACAGTCAGACAGAGAAATATTTCTCATGTCGACGTACTCAGGCAGGAGGGCTTGAAATGTACATGATGAAATCTGTACGTCTAACAGAAGGAGACTGATAAACAAGGAGCACAATAATCGGTGGTGGATGAAATGTGGCGTCCCCCCACTCTCCCCAGAGGCGATGGCGGAAGCTGCCTTATATTCGGTTCGACCACTGGTCTATCGAGGTCAATCTCGTCTACTCAGACTGGCAGCAGCTCTTCGGAGTTTCACATCACCTCCCGCCTGATTCTTTTAGTTTGAGAGGCCAGGGATTGAACCGGGGGCCTTCTGCACGCCAAGCTGCAGTCTTGAGCCATGGTATGCCCAGTGACAGCCGTGGAGATCACACATTGGGGGGGGGGGGGGGGGCGTGTGCTGCCGTGCCAGGACCAAGTTCCTCTCTCCTTGCCACATCCACTTTGCGAAGCCTGCATTACCTCAGAAAGACTGAGAGTTTCAGCATCTGCCTGTTGTATTTTTATCTTGCTTTCCCTCCAAGCAGGTCAGGGCAGGGCAGGGCATGCAGTTCTTCCCACCTCCCTTTTATCTTCACGGCGACCCTGTGAGAGAGACGGGCTCAGGGGGCTCCACGGCCGAGTGGAGATTTGAACCCAAGCCTCCCTGTCCTCACCCAACACTCTACTGGCTACTCTCTGTGGCCCCCCCTCCCTCCAGTTTGGTGTAGTGGTTTGGTGCCAGTTTGGTGCAGTGGTTAGGAGGGCGGACTCTAATCTGGGAGAACCGGGTTTGATTCCCCACTCCTCCACTTGCATCTGCTGATGTGACCTTGGGTCAGTCACAAGCTCTGGCACAGCTGTCCTTGAAAAAGAGCCGTATCTGTCAAGAGCTCTCTCAGCCCCACCTACCTCACAGGGTATCTGTTGGGGGAGGGGAAGGGGAAGGAGCTTGTAAGCCGCTCTGAGACACCTTTGGGTAGTGAAGGGCCACGGGGTATAAATCCAGTCTCTTCTTCTTCTTCTCCAGCCATCACCTTATGCCTTTCAGCACCACCCGCTCCCTCCCTCGGCTTCCTGCCGTTTCTCTGGCCCTGCCGCCTTCCCATCATCCTTCTGCCGCCCCCCCCCCCCCGGTCCTTCGGCTAGACGCACCTGTTCCCATACTCCCGGTCCTCACCATCAGCTTGCTCTCTCCATCCAGGCTCTGGTAAGGCTGACAGTTTCTGAAGGAAATCCAAACGTTTTCCTGATGTTGCCCATTTCCAGTTCCTACGGCCCTCCATTGTCTCCTCAGACTGGCAGCAGCTCTCTCTCCAGGGTCTCAGGCAGAGAGAGGTCTTTCCCATCACCTATTGTCAGATCTTTTTTTTATTTTTTTACTGGAGATGTCGGGGATTGAACTGGGGACCTTCTGCATGCCAAGCAGATGCTCAAGCCCTCAGCCCCCCCCCCCCCCAGAACACACATGAAGCTGCCTTATACTGAATCAGTCCATCAAGGTCAGTCTTGTCTACTCAGACTGGCAGCAGCTCTCCAGGGTCTCAGGGCAAAGGTCCTCCCCATCCCCTCCCGCCTGGTCCTTTTGACTGGAGATGCCACCGGGGACCGACCCTGGGACCTTCCGCAGGCCAAGCAGAGGCTCTGCCACTGAGCCACGGCCCCTCCCTCCTCATCTGCTGTCAGTGTTACTCCCCTCCGCTGACTCACCCCTACCTGAATAGCCCTCAGCTGCTCTTCCGCCCCCGGAGTCTCTGTCAGGCCTCCCTCTTGCTTTATGCCACTTCCACCATGCTGCCGCCTCCCTCGGAAGAAATCAGCCGCCCTCTCTCTGCCACCCTCCCCACTGGGCAAGCAGCAGGACGACTATGCATACATCAGGCACAGGAGCAAAAGGCCAGCCTGGCAGTCTGGGGTGGCAGGAGTGGGCACCAGAACACTTGCAGTGGGAAAACTCTCACACAGCCCAGTGCCCCTGTCGTCACAATGGTAGTGTGGACTGATTCGGGGCCGCGGTGGCTCAGAGGTTTAGATGCTGAGCTGCAGACTGGAAGGTCTGTCACTCGGCAGTTCGAGACCCAAGTGCCATGTGACCGAGTGAGCTCCTGCCTCTGGCCCCAGCTCCTGCCTGCCTAGCAGTTCAAAAGCAAGAACTTGCAAGTTGATAAACAGGTACCGCTTCGGTGAGAAGGGAACAGCGTTCTGTGCGCCTCAGCGTTCAGTCATGCCGGCCACATGACCACGGAGAAGTCTTTGGACAGTGCTGGCTCTTCGGCTTTGAAACGGAGATGAGCACCGCATCCCTAGAGTTGGATTCGACTGGCTTTCGAGCAAGGGAAACCTTTACTGATTCGGGGACTAACTGAAGACTATCTGCCTGCCTCACACTTCCTGACCACAACACCAAGCCCACTTGTGAAAGAGGCCAAAGCAGTGTTTATGTACTGACCTGCCATTGCTTGGTACCGCTGACTGCTGGCCACCCTGGATGTTAATTGGGACTGTGCTCCTGCGGTGCCCTCCCCCCTGTTTTAGAAAACCCGAGAAGAACGGAGACTGAAGACAACAAGGGGAAAAAAGGGTGTTCAGGACCAACTTTATGCCACTGAAGTGTGTGTGTGTGTGTGCATTTAAAAAGATTGAAATATGGAGAGAGGAGAGTTAGCCAGGAACTGCCAAGTTCCCTTCAGGTTTCTTAACCTTTCAGATGACCCCCAGAGCCCTTTTCAAATGCAGACTTCAGCCTGCCCTGACTGTGGTCTGGACAAGGTGAGCTTCCTACCTTGCTGGAGGGTGAGAGCAGGTGGATATCTGTGCAAAAAGGAAGGGCAAGGATAGGAAAAAAGAGGAGCAGAGACCGATGGCTGGCCACCACCGTGGTGCTTGTGGTGGTGCAGCAGGATTTCGCTCCCCCCCTCTCCCTCTCCCTCTGGGATCTGATGTGGTGGAGCAGATCTGCTACTCAGCAGAAGTGCCACTTTGCTTCCATTTGTGCTTGACCTGTGCTTTGGGAAAGAACTGTGGTTCAGGGGAACTGCTTTGCATGCAGCAGGTTCTTGGTTCAATCCCTGGCACCTCCACTTAAAAACAAAAAGAAGAAGAAGAAGAAGAAGAAGAACAAACGGTCGGTGATGTGGAAGACCTCTCGCTGAGCTGCTGCCGGTCTAAGTAGACACTACTGGCCTTGATGGACCAGTGGGTTTGATTCAGTACAAGGCAGCTTCTGATGTGTGTGCCTCTTTGCATTGGTGAATAAAGCAAATGTGCCCCACGTCTCCAGTATTCTCTCCTCCAAAGGGAAAACAATCTAGGAAAAGGACTGCCCTTAGAACACCTCACCACTCACATCACACACTACTGTGACTGTCAAATATCACCTGTAGCTTCACTGGGTTCTGGAGGCCCTGGGATCTGCGAGGCGGAGGGCAAGCAAAAGGTAGTTGAAAGAGACTACAGGTCTCTTTCTGCAGGCCAAAAGTGCAGTCCATGGAAAACTAGGCAAAGCAAAGCAAAACAAAACAAAACCCCAAGTCATGGAACTAGGGAAGTTGTTTACCTGGCTGTTGTTCCTGGCCTCAAACTCAGTACAACCAGATTGTTCCTGGTCTCTCAGCTTTTGGAAACTCTCTTGGAGCAAGTAACAAACCAGCCACTTGTATGCTGTTAGAGGTACTGCAAAAAAGAAAAAGAAAAAAGAAGAATTAAATGTTTACTGTGTTCACTGAGGTATTTATCTATTTATTGTCAGATTTATACCCCGCCCTCCCCGCAAATCATCATAAAGCAAAGACCAAAGTATGCTGACAGTCTTGTTAACAAAATCTGCGTTCCTGTCTGACTTGCAGGCATCCTATGGAAACAATGTTCAAAAACACAAACCTGAGCAACACATTTCCTTAAGCAAGTGGCTCTTCTCTCCCTGCTGAAATGATTCATAAAGATGACAGAAATGGAAGAAGACACACCGCTGAGTATGTCTGTGGGGAGCTATCTGGCACCTCCTCGAAGACGGAGGGATCCTCCAAGGCAATTTAAGGGTCAGGGTTTTTCTTGGCAACCCCAGGTGTCAATTTTCCTGTTCAAGTCATGACTCATAAAAAGGTCACAGTATTCTAAAGCAGAACAAGAACACTTCCAGAAACAAGATGACAGCCGTATCAAGTAATTTAACTGGGAAGGACAGTGAAGGAATTAAAAAAATGTGTACCATCTTTGCAACCAACACTGGACCACTTTTAAATTTAATGTTATGGATTCTTTACATTATGCTTGTGTATTCCTGTCAAAAAAGGAATACTTGCTGTTGAGAAAGCGACACGCCCACAGCAGATCTATTAGGGCTTTGGTGCCGGCTCTCACTAGGAGCCAAAGCACCCCATGCACCTCTGTCTACTCCGGAGCCAGTGTGCTCATTCTTTCCCTGCTGAGATCTCCCTCCGTCTGGGTCATGGCCTCATTTAGAGAACACTACAGATCACCAACATTCCAGTTTGGTGTTGTGGTTAGGAGGGCGGACTCTAATCTGGGAGAACCGGGTTTGATTCCCCACTCCTACACTTGCACCTGGCTGGATGACCTTGGGCAAGCCCTAGTTCTGACAAGAGCTGTTCTCTCAAGTGCGATTCTCTCAAGAGAGCTCGCTCTGCCCCACCTACCTCGCAGGGTGTCTGTTGTGAGGAGGGGAAGGGAAAGGAGTTTGTAAGCCGCTCTGAGACTCCCTTGGGTAGTGAAGGGCGGGGTATAAATCCAGTCTCTTCTCTTCTTCTTCCTTCACCTCATTAGGGGAGTCGGGGGGCAGCTGCCCCTGTTCTGCCTGGTTCCATCACCAAGCATCAAAACTCAGAGCAAGACTCTGTTTGTTCATTCAGATCACTTTTAAGTACAGGTCACTGATTTGTGGCTGATTTTGGAACACGGATATTCCTCACTGAAAGCTCAAGCAGCCGCCTCCCTGTTTTTCCACAACGACCACCAAGAGACACAGAAGACTCTACTTCTGCAAGCAGCGCCATATTGGAGGTGGAAAGACACAGGTCATCACAGCCCTTCCTCCTCCGGAACAAGGGAGAGCAGGGGGCTTACGGGGCCTGCATCTTTGACTCCAGCTCTGGCTTCTACTTTGTCTCCTGGGTCCTGGCCCAAGTCAGAGTGCTGGTGTTGAGCTTTAAAGCTCTCAGCAGCATTGGACCAGGAACCTATGACTGCCTGTGCCCACTCAAATGGGCTCACGGATCAAGATCTGCTGGACCGGCCTTCTCTGCACACAAACTCTGCAGGAGGCGAGATTGGTGAGCCCAACATGGGGGATCCCAAGACTTGGGACCAATGTTCCCTCTAAGCTGTGGAGTCTTGTGAGCAAAAATTCTATTTTGTGAGCTACTGGCATTGTTGTGAGTGAGCATTTTGGCAACAGCATAAGTTAGTCTGCTCTGGAGCCCTCCTTCCTGAGCTAAGGCAAAAAAGTGTGAGCCAGAGGCTAAAATACTGTGAGCTAGCTCACACTAACTCAGCTTAGAGGGAACACTGCTTGGGACCCCTCCCCCCGGAAAAGATGGCCTTCGGGAGAGAGCAGCTAAAACAGTCCTTTTTTTGTGGGGCCAGATGATTCTCCAAAGGGGATATGATTTGCGTTGAGTTTTATTTTGGGAGTTTTTGTCTATTCAATGCTGTTGTATTTTGGACAGTCTTTTATACTGTTCCTGGTTTTTAAGGTTTTTGGTTCCACTGGCCGGAGCCCTATGGTTTCTCCTGCTGCTTGTTTGTATTGATTTTCTGATTTATTTTTATGTTGATGTAAAATGTAATTGATATTTTTCATATACTACAGGCTGTCCTGAGTACTTCCCAAAGTTATCAGCCAGGAACTGCTGTCCTGTGCCATCCTGGTGGGACCAGCCCACGTCCTGCCCTGCCCCCGGCATCCCCACCCACACCAGGGAGTCCCCCCCTCTCCTCCTGACGCAGCCAGCAAGCCTTTCCTTAGAAACCCCCCCCACTCCCAATAGTTAAAGCCTCCCCCCAATCCAATATTCTACTTACACATACGAGAGTAGTTAGAAAGTATGCTGGCCTACCCTGGACACCATGATCTTAGCCCACCCCCCCCGAGGCAGACTCATCAGGCACTGTGGTAGTCAAGGGAGAGAAGAGACCCCTCAGGAGGGACCTGTGGATGTTGCCTTCTCTTCCCACCCCTCTGAGGAAGCTGCTATGCAAGTATCCTGCAGGGGCCGGGAAGGGATGAAGCCTCCTGCAAACCTGCACTTGGAACTGACTCGTCAGTCATTTTCCTTAAAAGACAAAGGTTTTCGGAATCAGTTCTGTAATTTTGTCAATAATTGTTAAATACTTATCAAAGACTGTGCCACTAACAAGGAATAATAGGTGCCACTAGCATAGCACTTGAAAACAGTTATCCTTTTGACCTGAATTGAACTTGGTTGGTCTTAAAGGTGCCCGACTGGATTCAAACTTTGTTTTACTGCTTCAGACCAACACGGCGACCCACCTGGATCAGCCATCCTTTCAACAGCCCGGTCAAATATTACCACCCGGTCCTGCCTGCAGAACTCCCACCTCTGTTACATGCTGCTGCTTGGTTGCCCTGAGTCCTGTGAGAGGATGGCATCAGGCCGTTCTCAAGGGAACCTCATGCCTGTTAGCAGCCCTTATCTTCAATGCCCGAGTTGTTTCTTCTCACCACTGAACGCCCGGGTGCTATTTGGCCTGGTAATGATTTCCTGACTGGTAGCCAGCATCTAGGGCAGGGGTGTCAAACCTAAGGTCTGCAGGCCAGAAGCGGCCTGCCCGTGGCTTTAATCATGCTTGTGGCACTGCTCTTCCTCCTCCCCCTCCCGTCCTCACCTTTTGGCAGGAAGCTCTTCTGGGCTTGCAAAGTTACAAAGAAAATACGGAATGGATTTTTCTATTAAGGTCTTTGCACCCAGAAGACTACTTCGGGGCTGTTTCTAGCAATAGAAACAGTGCTCTAGGACTGGAATGACAGCCCCCGGAGTAGAATGACAGTCCCTAGCAACCAGGGGTGGAGCTCCGGCAGTAAAGAGCCCAGGGGGCAGGCACATGCAACAAGCCCTACCCCCTGCTCCCAGCAGTCCTCAGTCAGAGCAAGAAGCAGCCAGGTAAGTTGCAGAGCTCCCCCCGGCCCAAAACAGTGATCTGCACGTCTTCCCCCCCCCCAATAGCTAGCAATCCAAAACAGTCCAGTGGAGCCTGAGCGGTGGGTGTTGCCTTCTGACACACTTCTGGTGATGCCAGGGGGTGTGGCATATGCAAATAAGTCATGCTAATGAGCTCCTGCACCTCTTTTTCTACGAAATGACCCCTGCTAGCAACAGAATCTGTGTTCTGAGACTGGAATGACAGGGCATAAAGTGGAATGACAGCCCCTGGGAGTAGCAGCAGCATTCTGGGAATGGAATTCCATTCTGGGGGCCCTCATTCCAATCCCAGAATGCTTCTGCTACTCCCAGGGACTATTTCACTCTGTTGGCTGTCATTCTATCTGGGCCCAGAGACCTTAATGGGAAATACATTCCACATTTTCTTTGCAACTTTGTCTGTGCTGCAATGTATTTCCGTGGCGTAGAGCTCAAGTAGTTTCACTTTCCAGTGTTTGTATAGCTGAAGCTGCTGCTTGCTGGAGCTGTTACCTTGCAAATACAGGGTTGATGTTTTGAGCCAGCTTGTCCCTGCTGAATGGGCCTGAGAACGGGTGCCTGAGTGAGGACTCTAACCTGGGAACTCACAGCCAAAGGGGGACATGACACTGGAGAGCCACTGCCACTCTGAGTAGACCTGGGGGGGGGGAGGGGAGAAGATTGCAATGCTCAGCCATTTTATGTTCCTAGGCTCAGAGCAGTTTATATTTTTAGTTTATGTTTTAATTTCTGCTGTGATCCTTGTGCTTTTTGATGTTTTATTTTAAAAACTACATTGCCAAACCCCACTATTCCCCCACCTTCCCACTTTAGGCAGGCATCTTTTGGGGGAGAGGGAGGTTTGGGAGGTGTCAGTTATCAAAGAGTGTTAAATAAACAAAACATCGCAAAAGTTTTAAGCATATTTGAATTTTAAGTTTAAAAAACCTTTGTCAAACATCATAGAAATGTACAGTAAAAAATCCCCTGCCCCCCCCCCGCCTGGTGCATTCAGCAGAAGGTGAAGCGAGGGTGGCTCCAGCACCATTCCCAGGGCAGGAAGCAACCCACCTTGTGTTTGTATCTTCTATAAAGTTTATATCTCCGCTACCTGGGCATTACATATTATGACACGCATGGCCTGGCCCCACAAAGTCCCATTTATGCCATATCCGGCCCTTGTAACAAATGACGTCGATACCCCCGATCTAGGGTGCAAGATGCCTCACTTTAGCTATGCACGGGGTCTTGGATTCTGGCAAGCTTCGCGGTGTGTGTGCATGTGCCTGCTCAAGGCCCAGCTAATGGGAGCTTAGCCTGAGTTTCCTGTAAACCTGATGCTTTAATTAACAATCTCCTTGTAAAGAAACCTGGATCACGCTTTATCGTTTCCTTGGGATTTCCTCAGGCCTGGAGCACATCCTCCTCTTACCGCACTGGGAATGGAGGCTGAGCAAGAGGGGTCTGCAGGGGGCCGAGGTGCCCTCTGAACCGCAGAACTCCTAACTCAGCCTCTCGGTTGCTCTGCTGCACCAGCCCCCCTGGACAAAGGAAGCCAACGAATGGGCCAGCCCTATAGCTGGTCACAGGGGCCATCTGGATGGGGAGACACAGCCCCACTGCGGCTTCTGGGCTTGAGGGGCCTCACCACAACCTCCCCATGCAGGCTCCCGGGCAAACTGGAGTTTGGTTCTTCCCCACAAACGAGGATTAAATTTGACTCTCAGAATCTTGGTTTATTGGGGGGGGGGGAGGGACAAATGCCCTTCAGCCCCAGTGCCCCTCTGCACTCAGGAGGTGTGGGGAACTGGCGCCTGACTCCAGGCTTCCCAATCTCTTTGACTGCTCTCTGAGCAATCCAAGGCGTGATGAAGCTCATCATGGATGTATCAGAAGATGGCCATCGGGAAACCCCACCTCCAGCAGGACCTACTAGCCGGGCTCCAGACTCACATTTCCATGGGCACAAGGACTCCCGCCCTAGGAGCACCGTTTCCCCACCTTCTGCCTCTTATTTATTTTATTTATTTTATTTTTGGGATTTCTATCCAGCCCTACCCAGAGGATCAGGGCGGCTAACAACAATTTTAAAAGTTTGTAACAATAAAACAGTAATATATACAATAAAATTTGGTGCTACAATCTACATACAATCTTGCAGCAGCCCCAATCCCTGTCGGAAGTCCTTGTACCCACAGAAGTGTCGGTCTGGCTCCGAGCCACCATATCCAGTCAGTGTGTCCTAATTCCTGTCTGGTGCAGTCTGCGCGCACACAAAAGCTTATGCCCAGAATTAAGCTTTGTTGTCTTCAAGGTGCCACTGGACTCAAACTTTGTTCCTCTTCCATAATTCATGCTTTCAGGCCTCTAGCATCAACAAAGGGATCTCTCTACGCAATTCTTATAACTAATGTCATCTGCATTGATGGATTAACTGTCACCAACCCACCTACATGTGTAATAAAATCTATTTTTATGTTTTGTTTCCAACACATTAAAAGTTTCTAAGTGATGCAGTCCTAAACACATTAATTCCCACTGTTTAGTATTTCTTCCTGTCCCATAACTACAAGCCAAAGGGATTCAAGTCTCAAGCCCTGTGAGTCCAAACCCATCCCCAATGGCTGGTGAATAATTAAAGGGGTGAGGCCTCTCCCCTAGAACACAGGTACTGCCCACTACAACACCCCAAAAGTAGCAAACACAAAAGTCTTGAAAGAGAGGCCCCACTGAAAACAGAGGCATGTGAAATGGGAAAAGCAAAATGAACCAAGTTACCTGAAGCATCCATGCAGTCATGGACATTTGACACTGTGAATTTCTGGTGAAGAATCTGGTCGTAGTCTTCCAAATAATCTAAAGAACCCAATGGTGATGTCATGGGACCTCTGTCTGAAACAGCAATGATAGGAAATCCAAATACCAATTCAAAGGGCATTAAGATCCAAGCAGCAACAACTTTGAAAGTCAATGAGAGGCAGAAACCTGCTCATCTGTGCATTCCCTGAGACAACCACCTCCCAGGAAGCTGTTTTCTCGGCAGGGTCAAGCACATATCCCCCCTTATAACACCATGTTCATATTTTGGTTTTTTTTCTTTCCTTTTAAGGAGAATGTCCTAAGGTCTATGCTGGAAACTTTTTTAAAAATTGCATTTTTGAAACTTAAACATGACAGACAGTTGTGCACTCTAGGACGCAAGCTTCATGCTCCAATGACTGTTTATGATTTAAATACATACAATTGACTGAGAAAGTTGCCATGCAATCCTAATACGTCTCCTTACACCAGCAGATCGAAGAGATCCATCAGTGGTCTCTGTCACCATCATCTTGAGGTCACACAACACATCATGTTGGGTTGTGGCAACCATGACACTGCCAGGTGCTGCTGGTGCAAGAGCCAAACCGGGCGGTGGGGGGGGGGGCTGAGGATGTGGCAGGGGAAGCAGCAGTGTGCTTGCTTAGGCCTCAGGCCTGTTTCCAGCCAGCCTCCCACTGAACTCAAAACACTCCAGCTCCCTGCCTCCTACCTTCCACAACAACCGGAGAAACTGGTTGGCTGCTGTGTGAAACAGGATTCTGGCCTAGATGGACCACTGGTCTGACCTGGGCCACCTCTTCTGCAGCAAACGCTTCCCCTCCAGACCCTAGGCAATAAAATCCCACAGGAACCGCCTCCATTCTCCCAATTGGGAGTGAGGGTGGAAAGCGCCGTCAAGTCAACCCGGCCTCGCAGGGTTTTCACTGCAAGAGACGAATGGAGGCGATCTGGCCTTGCCCGCCTCTGCTCAGTAGCCCCAGGCTGGCCCTGCTTCGCTTCTGAGATGTGGCGAGACCGGGCTAGCCGGGGCCACCCAGGTCAGGGCCCGACTGAGAACAGGGACAAAGGGAAGCAAGGGAGAGGGAAGCCACGTAGGAGCAGCTTGTATCCCACGATCCTACCCCTCACTCCACACTCACTCAACAGGTAGTGGTAGCTGCTCCAACTCAGGGGACAAGGGAGAAGTTTGCATTATGCTGCAAATGTGGACGCCAGTTGGCCGTGAATGTCTAGCCACAGGTAAACTCCCATCATGTACAGCCACTTGAATGTGAGCTACTCCACGCCAAAGGGGGCGGCTGCGGCCTTGCCAAGATCAGAACTCCCGGCACGTGAAACAGAATAACTACAGCTGAAGTCTGACCACAGCTGCTCCAGTGGTCTCTGCCCCAGTGAGCGCAGTGCCCACCTCAAAGTGGGAGGGAGGCAGAGATGTTAGAACGGGAGGAGCCCTGAGGGGGCATCACTCTCTCAGCAGCCCCCACCCTCTGTGTTGTCTGCGGCAGTTGCTGTCGGTCATGACTGTCACTCTGTCTCCCTTGAGAAGCAGCAGCAGCAGTGTGAAACCTCTCCGTGTGAAACCTGCAGCCACGTTGATTCTACCTGGGGCTTCTGAACCTTTGCAAGTTCTCCACATTTATACGGCAGTGAATTCACACCCAGCACAGAGAGATGCAGTGGTGGGGAAAGCTGGAAGCAGCCACTCCACTGCCTGTCGCAGGTGCTATGGGGTCCTTGTGCCTGCGGGACTGTGCTCTGCCTACGTCGTGTGCTGAGGTGATGTCATGCCGTGCATTCACCAGTCCCTTCTGTGCATGGCTAGTGTGGAGACAGCACTGGCAGACTGGAGTAGAATAAAACAAACACTGTGCTAGAGGTGAGCATTGACACGGTGGCCAGCATTCTCATGCCAAAACAACAGTAAGTGACACTGATCATCAATCACATTCGAAATTAAAAATTTCACACGCAAGAGGGAAAATGCTGGCCCATTTCCTGATGTATATTATCTGCTGTACCTGACAGCTGATTCATGTGCTTCATCTTTAGGATACATATTTATTATACTTCTGAAAAATGTAGCAAGTCTGAGACAGAACAAACATGTGATATAGATGCATATTGCAGGGACTGTGGATATTCAACCTAACTGTGAGAATAGGCACTGGCACAAGAAGAGAAGAAGAGATTGGATTTATACCCCGCCCTTCACTACCCGAAGGAGGCTCAGTTTACAATCTCCCTTCCCTTCCCTTCCCCTCCCCACAACAGACACCCTGTGGGGCAGGTGGGGCTGAGAGAGCTCTTTCGAGGACTGCCCTTGAGAGAACAGCTCTGAAAGAACTTATGACTGACCAAAGGTCACCCCAGCAGCTGCATGTGGAGGAGTGGGGAATCACACCCGGTTCTCCCAGATTAGAGTCCGCGCTCCTAACCACTACACCAAACTGGCTCTCCAGAAAAATAGGACCAAGAATTGATCATCAATTGGCAAGGGACCACCCATCAGCATTCTGGCTGAACAGCTGATGAGTGAGCATTCTTTTTTCAAAAGAGTGTGTGTGTGTGTGTGTCTGCATGTGTTTCATGTGCCTGCCTGGAAGTCACAGTGACTTCTGGCGACCCCTAATGAGGGCTGGGAACATGTCTCAGAGAGGTGGCTTAAGTAGCCTGCCTCTGTGTCCCTGGAGGTCTCCCATCCCAATACTTGCCGGGGTCAGCCCTGCTTAGCTTCTGAGATCTGACGAGATTGGGCTTGCCTGGGCTCTCCAGGTCAGGGCAAGGAATGAGCATGCAGTCTACCTTCCTCATATGGGCAGAGTCAGGATGGTGAGTGCAGGTCAGTGCAAAGAAAGCGCAACAGGGAGCCACAGTCCCCGGCAGCCATCAGAAGGTCACATGATCACCTACATGAAGAAGATGCTTTGGTGGACGACTTCCACTCTCACCCGCCAACAGACCTTCTCTGTCTACCGCTGGACTCTCTGCCCCACTCACCTTGGCGTCTGGCATTCATCCAGCTGAGCAGGTAGTTGCTGGTTTGCTGCAGCAGGACATTATTGTCTCCTTCATATGTGCAGTTTGGGTCATTGTCGTCACGGATCTCACCGAGACGGTTCACTTTTTGGGGGAAAAACACATGCAAACAACATGAAGATTTTCAAGCTGTAGCCTCAGCAGATGGTGCACATGGCGCTAAATTACAGACAGGCCACTCTGCAAAGACTGCAACCTGTCAATGAAAGGTAAGCCCAGGAAAAAAACAAGTCGGCCGAAACCTTCTGCTGCCGCATACAAGGACACACATGCAATGTTTAAATTTCTAGATTACATTACATATGGATTTGGCAGTTCACAATGCAATTTTGAATGTATCCCAAATCCACGGACTGGGGCCATGTGGAGGCTAAACAGATTTTTCAGCAAACTTGGGGTATCTGAAATTTTTTAAAATCTGAATTAAAAATAATAATAATAATATATATATATATGGTGGGTTTAAATTCCCCGAAAGCAGAAGTGTCCTCTGAGCAAGTGCAGAGAACGGACTTGCCTCTCAGGCAGTCAGAGTCTGGAGAGGGGAGCCGCGCTGGGCCTGGTGGCAACACAGCCCAGGAGGCCCGGCGGCAGCTGATTCAGCCCAGCCGTGCTGGTAGAGGATGCCGGCAGCTGCTCCGGCTCAGCAGCAGGGCTCGACAGGACATAGTGGGGCCTGGAGCTGTCTGGTGATGGGGGGGGGGGGGGGGTAAGGCGCGTAGCCCGGGTGCGATTCTTTTAGTGAGGGGGCATTTAAATTTCTTAGGTGGCACTGGCTAATCTAAATAAAGGTAATTTACTCTGGCCCCTCGTGACAGACAGCTGCCCAGGAATAGCTGTACCCGCTGCCACTCGGGGTGGAGAGTCAGGGGGATGGAGAGTCAGGGGGCCTAGCCCTGAGATGCCCCACTGTAGCTACGGGCCTGGGAGGTATCCCCCCTTGTGAGTCTCCCCCCCCCACAGCCAAAAGGAGGGAATCAGCAGCAGGATCCCCCCTCGCAAGTATCATAGCTCTTTAACCCAGGGCAGAAAACTCTCAGGGATGTGGTCACTCTTGGATGGGGGGTGTGTGCTTCATATCCCAGCCAACCTGTCAGACCTGTCAGACCCTCTGGTCAAGTCACTCTCAAGCACACTGTCTTTATTGAGCTATACAAGGTCCAGGCAAGATCGATACTGTCTAATGAAGGCCCTTCATTAGACTTTCTTCTCACCATTTTGGTTCTTGATACCAGTTTTTGGGTCAGGTTTATTTTCCCCTCCCTGTGTCCTATGATCAATACTGTGTCAGCACTAAAGCATTTTGGTGGATACTCATTGCACAGATATAGAAAGTTCAAATGTAGCCTCTCCTAAGCCCCACTCACACATCACGTCACATACACAGCCCAGCGCCCAGAGCCTCTCCATCCCCCCTTCTCATGGAAATATACGATCCCATTATTTACTACAGGCTGGCACTAGAAGCTTTCAAGGACATCTCCCGGTGAAGAGAGAGAGAGAGACATCTTGAGAGAAAGGTTCCGCCACACTCACACTCCCCCCACACCCAAGGAATTCCCCTCCCCCAGCATCTATGACAAACTACAAAGAGCTAAGGGAACCATGGTTTGACACAACCAAACTTGGACTGAGGCTCGTTCCCTAAGGAAGGCCCCTCGTGCGGATCTCATGGTCAGGCAGATACAGTTCTTTAGAGACTAGGACCCAAACTATTCAGGGATCTGAAGGTCAAAAGCAGCATCTTGCTGGAAGCCTGCACAAACGGCACAATATGGTCACAGCAGTGTGTCCTCGGAATGATCCTCGGTGCTGCATGATGTGCCCCACCCAGTTCTCAAACCGTGTCCAGAGATTCTGCTGCAGTCATCCACTCAGGATGTTACTAAGGCTCAGGTGGTTGTGACCAGGTTGACTTTCTCCAGGAATAGGCACAGCTGGTGAAATCTCTGCCCCTCTCTCTAAGCAGTGCAGCTGACTTCTGCGGGGTGTGTGTGTGACCCCACTCAGAACTGGTCAAATGCTACTTTCTAGGTCAGCCTTTCCCCACACTCATCGCACTTTCATCTTCTCTAGATTAGTCCTTCCCCAAATCCAGACACTGGTTTAGTACTTCTACTGCATCTTTGGATTTGGATGGAAAGGAGACAGCTGTGTGTTAGAAAAGCACTATGTAAGGCAGGACTCTGTAGGAGGGCCTTTCTATAAACTGGCTCACTGTTATGAGTTCTTTGTTTTAAATATTTTTGTGATCTACTTTGAGTCTTCTTAAGAAAGGAAGGCTATAAATGCCGGGGCCGGGGGGGGGGGACGGGCCACTAACGGCAGTGTACTCCAGGTATCTGGATGCTCCCTCCCAATGGCTGCTCCAGGATGCTCGAGAGCACTGGGGTCAAGATCAGCGCCTGCATCGTCCTACGTTTACGCCCCAGGACCAAGCCACAGTGCCCGCCAAGCACCGCCTGCTGATCCCCGCCGTGCAGAACGGAATATGGAGCCCACGAGGCACAGGACTTCTCGGGCGCATCCCCACCTGGAGGCTCAGAAGAACCACACAACAGGCGGTAATGAAAGCCACTGAGAGATCCAGGAAGTCCCCCTGTCAAAAGACTGGTCTAGATACTCTAACAGTGACCATGGAGATTTTTGCGCCATGCCCAGGCCAGAAAAGGACAGTGTCACCCAGGAATATTTAGAGTTCTTCAGCCATACCCAGGCCAGTAGCCAGGATTTTGTGGCTTGTGGGGCAAAAATCTTTATGGTGGGGCTGCCATTATTTGCCATAATGAAAGGAATGTGTGTGTGTGTGTGTGTATGCCCCTCTTCCTCCCCTCCTGTAAGATTTAAAGGGCCCTCTAGCTGACTGGTGGGCCAGGTGCTCCCCGCCAATCAGCTGAAGGGCCCTTTAAATCTTGCAGGAGGGGAAGGAGAGGGGTGGGTGCCACCCTCCCTTTGCTTCTGGGAAGGAGGCGGCGCCCCCAATAGCCCCACCGTAGCAGCTACAGGCCAGGCCTCACCCTGCCTCCAAAGGAGACGGGACGCTGGTCTCCAGGTGTTCAGATCCGTGCCATCTATGGATTGTTTATTTAAGGAAGATATACCGCCTCCTTGAGCACTAATGACATTGTGTCTTCTTGTAAAGCAGTTTACAGAGAATCCTGTAAACCAGCTCTCCTGGCTGGTTTGGAAGGCGAGAGGGACGGGGATCCGACAGACTAGTGGGGGACCTCATGGCTCCAAGGCTCCTCCCTGTGCCCTGAGGATGAATTAACCGAATGAACCTGAAAAGCAGTCACCCCAGGAACATTCAGGACACCTGCTGTTAAAAGTGGCGTCCCAGTGAGACTGGATGCAAGATGTTACCCATATAGTGCTTAACACACATCTTGTAACGATGAGCCGCAGAAGGGTCCTGCATTTGCTCCCAGTAGCCAGCACGCAAATGGACTCATAGCCCCCAAAAGCATCACCTGGAGGGCTCTTCACGGACATGAAGGTGGCAAAGAAGCAGAGTTTCTTCACTGCCATCATAGCCACAGAACCGGTTTTCCAGCACACTCTAGACTGCGTTCTGTTGGGCTCAACCCCAGTTTCCCTCCACTGTCACTCTAGTTTTTGTCCCCTGCCCTTCCCATCTCTCAAATCACTTCTGAAATTTGGAGTGAAACAGGATCCAGAACAAGGGAGAGGCTATTCAAAAGCAGTTGTATTAATAACATGGCTGGCTGCCCAATTCAAGAGTGCCACCAGATCTTCTGTACAACGACCAGTCATGTCGGCAGAAGATTTCTCAAGAGCCTTCAGGAAACTATTGAGATCCAGCTTTCTGGGGGGGTGGGGGGGTGGACCACCCTCCGCTGTTCCCCATCTCTGCAGAGGCCATGAGACATGGACATGCCTGAAGCTGCCTTCTACTAAATCAGACCACCCCCTTTGGTCCATCGAGGTCAGTACTGTCTACTCAGACTGGCAGTGCCTCTCCAGGGTCTCAGGTGGAGGCCTTTCCCATCACTGCCTACTTCAGCCTTTTCACTGGAGATGCCAGGGACTGAACCTGGGACCACTGTTCCACGCCCCTCCCCCTGACAGCAGCTCACCAAGTAAAGCTCTTTGTCTAGATCTCTGGCTGTGCAGCTGAAGAAACAAACTGACTTACTGGCCAAATAGCCATGACCCCCACAGGCTTCTCGGCATTAAGCTCCCTGTTGAGCCAGCCAGGAGGACAGCGGCTTGCCCGAAGTAGACAAGGCATGTATCTCGCGCCCCAGTTCAGCCTGTGATACAAAGGAGTTAAAGAATACAGCAGTCAACATACAAAGACGGGCGAGTGGCTGAAGAAAGGGATTCCCTCCCCTGCAAGCCCCACAAGTCCCCAACGAAGCAAAGCCTGCCTTGCGGATCTAACCTGTAACCACCGCTGGCCACTCTTTCTGGCTGGGAGCGTTTACTTTCCTGTGAGGTGGGGCCAGGCAAGGGAGGGCTGCCCCAATGGGAAGAGGCAAGGGGGAGGGACGCCTCGAAGGAAGCGGCCCCCAATGGGCAGAGGCAGAGGGCAGCGGGGGGGAGGGAAGCCTCGAAGGAAGCCGCCCTGCCCCAGCAGAGGCCCCAGCAGAGGCTCCAGCTCACGAACCCCCGTAATGGTCTCTGACCACCGGCAGCTGGGAGGGCTGTTTGCGGCCACCTGGCCACAAACAGCCCTCCCAGCTGCCGGTGGCCAGAGACCATTACGGGGGGTCGTGAGCGTCAACTAAAAAATAAGTAGCACGTTGTGTATCAGTTTCTAAAAAACAGTAAAGACACTACTGAAGAAACACACTGTGCTCCTTCTGGGGTTCTACTCAGCTTGACATCAATATGTTTTATCATTATAGCAATCACTCGGTATGCACTTTTACTGAGGAAGCATCTAAATAATCAATGTACGCTCTAACTTAAAGCAATGATTTAGATTGGTCTTTTCCCTGATAATTTAAACCACCTTGATCTAAATCAGTCCACACCCCACAACTTCAGTTAAACTGTGATCTGCAGAAACAATCATGGCAACAAATACATAACTCAGAGAACACAGCCTCAGTCCTTTAAGGCCAAAAAAGTTTAATTCTGAGTGATTCTTTTGTGTGCACACATGACACAAGTTTAATTCTGGGTACATATGAAAGCTCATACCTTGAATAAAACTTTGTTGGCCTTAAAGGTGCCCCCACGGGACTCAAACTTTGTTCTATTGCTTCAGACCAACGAGGCTACCCATCTGATCCCTGTGAGGTGAGAAACGCAGGTGTCTTGGCAAAGGTTTGTCCATTCCCCACAAGCTGGGATTCTAGGTTGGGTTGTGAGGAGCAGAGAATCTGACTGACCCAGGTGCCTGCTGCATTTGTACACCGCCGGGAATGGAAGGTTATGTCCAACTAGGAATCCTTGATTGTGCTTTTGCTACGAGACATGTGTAACCTCAGTCTACGTGTGACACAAAACATTAACTGGCCAGAAGACTCCGTGGGTTGCTTAGATGGCCCTTTCTCAAAACCAGGGATTGTTTCAATTATAAGAGTTCTCTGTCTCGTCAAGGAGGTCAGAAAGCTATCTTCTGACGGCATACTGTAAGGTATGACAGGCAAGATGACAGCCAAGTCAAGAAGTAGTCTATTAGATCATCTTGATCTGAGGTGACAGTGTGTCATGTGACATGTCACCAGGTCCTAAGATTGCATCATCCTGACTACTGTCACCATGAGTCAGCACTTCGTTCTGATTGGTGCTCAGATGTATATATTGAGTACAGTCTGTATGCTATTGTTCACTCTTGTGGATTGAATGCTATGCGAAGCACTTTGTCAGTAAGCCTGGTGAATTGGATACTACAAGTGCTAAAGGACTGTATGTATATAGTTGCTGTAAATAAACCACTGTAAATAGTTCAGCACTAGCCAACTCTGGACTGTATTATTGGCGCTTCCAATACGCTGACATCTTCACCTTCAGGAGAAATAAACAGTGTGCACACAGCATGCACACGAAAACTTATATCCAGGATTAAACTGTGTTGGTCTTCAAGGTGCCCAGTCTGGACTCAAACTTTGTTCTGCTGCTTCTGACCAACATGGCTGCCCCCACCTGAATCCATCTTCACAGAACTGAGAGGAATCTGTGTTTCTCCCCTAAGACTTCTCATGTGTCTGTCCGCTATTGACAATGGGCCCAACTGTCATTAATGGAGCCAAACCAGATGTTACTGCAGCAAGTCAGCATTTGTGTGCACCTTCTGTCAAAGAGGAAAATCCCACCTGACCCTGGGGGAAAACTGGTCTTCCGAAAACACCTCCAAAAGTGTCAAGAGGGTAGCAGGCATCTGTTGCCAACCAGATCTTACCCTTTCTCCTAGATCACGAGCTGCACTCAAGGATACTTTGGGACTATTTGCTTAGCTGGAACCTCTGTCTTTATTTTCTTTTGGAAATAGTCTGTTCCTACCCCTGTTCCTCTGTGCTAATCACTCGGCAACAGGGCGGGACCCCTGAGTCTGCATTGCTGTCCCCCTCCCCTGCCCCCAAGACAAGGAGGCCAGGCAGCTCCAGCCTTCTGCTGCCACCGTGCAGACCAACAAGAGGCTCCGAGAAACTGGCAGTGCATCCCAGTCCGGTGCTGGGGGAAGCCCCCACGGGTCGAGTTCTCACATTCTCTGACAGACAACAAGCTCCAGTGGCAGTTCAGAGGGAGGGAGGGGGTGATGAAGGTGCCAGCGGTACCCAATATCCATGCGCTATTACAGCATCCCTTCAGGCAGCATCGCCTTCAGACGGAATGCACTGTGGATCTGAGGGCAGCCCCCCCCCCCATTCACCTGTGGAACTTGTAAACCATCAGTGGTTCTGTCAGGCAGGACAGATTGTTGACTGTTGCATTTATCTGCTCACCTTGCTGAGAAAAGGGCACTGGGCCTTGTGGGAAAGCTGCCTGGGACCCTTTGGACACAGGAACAGGAGCAGCCTCCCTCCTACTGATTTACCTTAGGTTAGCCGGGGGGGGGGAGGGGGGCTGATTTCTTCCAGTAATTTCAGAAACCCATAAGAAGGACAAAGGTGGTGTTTCTGATGCACATTCCCTGCCACTGAAAGGGGACCCTCCTCCCTGCTGGGAAAGGGGGGGGGGGAGATGGTGGAAGCACCTGAAGTTCCAGGCAATGCGTCCTCAAGGGATTCCTCTCCCATCCTTTCACTTCCATCCTAATGGTTCAGAGGGGGGGGGTATTGGGGACCTGAGAACCTGGGCAAGAAAGGGAGTGGGTAGAGGAGGGGATTTTCAGGGTCTGGAAGCAGCTCATGGTCTCCCGTCTCAGAAGAACAGGGGCAGCTACCATGTTCTGAACTACGAAGAATTCTAGGGGGACACCCCCCCCAACTTTCACCTTGGCATGCTCAGACGGGGCTAGTGGGGGATTCTTCACACAAATAACACCTGCGAACTCTCTCACCTGTCGTGGACTCTTGTCTTTCATTAGAAGCCCGATGTGGAATTCAATGAAGTTCATAAACAATGACTTAGAGAAATAGTCTAAGGCATAGACAGCTGCTAAATAAGGAATCAACCGCCATTGCTGGAATAGAAATGGAATTTGCATGAGGGAAAACTGGGAGAGGCACGTGAAAGAGTTCTCTTTCAGAACACGCCAGGGACACAAGGTCACCCCCTCCCAAACATGCACACATACCAACCCCCCACACACACCCTTGAATAAAACTCGTGAAAACTCCGATCTCCACATCCACCCCAGTACATGCACATTACGTTGGATCCCAGAGTGACCCAGCGGTTTAAAGGGTGAGTGAGCATAGTTTCTTAAAGATGAGTCTTAGTAAGTCTTGGTAATCAGTAATATGTCAGAAAAAATTATTTAGACAGTAATCCACATCGATGTCAAGATTCCTTTATACTGCTAAAGCATGAAAAATATTATTAGGCACTCATATTAGTTAATACCGAGGGAGAAAAACACAGCTCGTTGAACAGGGAGCCCTGCTGAGATAATTCTGTGTCTTCAGCCTTGATAAGTACAGCCTTTGGCCTTGGAAACCTCCCTCAACACTCCCTTTTCCAACCAAACAGCCACTTTTTGCTCATGATGAGATAGGCTCTTGCAGGTATTAAGAACTACAACCAGCAATAATGCTCATCAGCCACCTTCGTGCTGTGTCTGAGTCATAATACTGTGCCAGAGAATAATATTTTAAGTTGAGATGGGATCCTTAGTTTATAATAGATGCTCCTCAGTTGCTTCAACTGTTAACGGAAGTCTACTGTTTTACCTGCATTTGATATTCAAGAACGGGTATCTCTTTCTCATCTGTTGGTCCAAATTGATGCCGAGTAGCTGAGAAACGAATTGCTATTGATACAGCAAGCTTTAAATTGACCACGGACATGGCTATAATCATAACTCTTCCGCTGGACAAAGCACCAAGGGAAGCTCCCAATCGCTGCTTGAGGTCCTAGGGAAACAAGGCAACACAAACACAAAGGCTTTAATTTATGGACTTTTTACCAACTTTTTCCATCAACAACAATTTGCCAGAATAGATGAAAGTGAAGCTCAGTCCAGACAAGAGGTTTGGTTGGTCACTGAAGAGTCACCCTGCTCCAGACCTGGTTGCGCTCCCCCAAGGGAGTGAACCTGGAGGTCCTGTGAGATCTCGGGGTGCAGCTGTCAGCAGTGTAGATTGTGTCTGTGGCGTGCAGTGCCGTGCATTTCACCAGCTTCGGCCAGCCATTCCTCTTTCTTTGCATTTTCTTAATATACGTGCGTGTGTGAGTACACCTGGAAGTCATGGCGGCCTCTGGTGACCGACCCCTCCTGGGGGCCTGGAGGCTGTTCAGAGAGGTGGCTGAGTGAAGCCTGCCCCCGCCTCCCAGACAGCTGGTCTTCCAAGGGGGTCTCCCATCCAAGTCCTTGCCGGAGTCGGCCCTGGCCGGGGCTACCGAGGTCAGGGCTGGCCAACCCTTCCTTGAAGGCAAAATTTAGCCTCGGTCACCTGTTCAGCAACCACAGCCAAGTCAGATTAGCAGTACGTGCCTTGTGTGAGGGTGCCCAGCGCCAGCTGAAAGAGACAGGGCCTTTTTAGTCGTTATCACCCAGGTTACAGATTTACTCAGGCAATCTGTAAACTTTTTTTGGGGGGGGCGTATTGCTGATCTTATGGGGTTATTTGTGTTTGATTTGTGGGGTTGTACTGTTTGATTTGTGGGGCTGCGGTGGCTCAAGTGGTTAAGATGCTGAACTGCAGACCGGAAGGTCGGTACTTCAGCAGTTCGAGACCCAAGTGCTGCATGACGCAGTGAGCTCCCATCTCTGGTCCCAGTTCCTGCCAACCTAGCAGTTCGAAAGCAAGAAATGGCAAGTGGATAGATAGGTACCACTTCGGTGGGAAGGTAACAGCGTTCGTGCGCCTCAGCATCTAGTCATTCTGGCCACATGACCATGGAAACATCTCTGGACAGCGCTGGCTCTTCGGATTGGAAATGGAGATGAGCACCGCATCCCTAGAGTCGGATTCGACTAGCTTTCAAGGAAGGGAAACCTTTACCCTTTACCTTACTGTTTTGTTGCCATTTGCTCTTTGTTGCTGCCTTGCCTACTTTTATGATATTTTATCACTGCTGGTTTTCCAAGGGCTGTTGCTATTGTTTTAAATTGTATTCTTATTTGCCTTTAGTTGTTAATTTCTGTGGAGTTTATACTTTCTAATGTGTTTTTTATATTTGTTTTAGCATATTATATGTACACAGACACACGTTTTATGGTTGCAAGCCACCTTGAAAGCCTGCATTGGCTAAAATGTACCATTTTTTTCAAATAAATAATAACAATGGGCGACATAATGTTTGAACTTTCTAATCCTCATTTACTGTAACAACCCTCGACGGAAAATGCCATGAACAGCATGTGAGAAAGAAGTAAAAGGATTAGTGAATGAAAGGAATCCTGTTGAGACAGAGATTAAGTATGGACATGAAGCGCACAGAGATTAATTAAGCTCAATGCCTACCTTATATGCACTTGTGTATGTTCCCTCTGCTGTGATATCTCCAGTTCGGCAAAGTTTTCCTTTGGAATCCTGACATTGTGGAACATGGCAAACCTATAAAGAAAGGAAGAAATCAACTCAAGGATGACACATGGGGATCCAGGAGCCCTCGAAAGCAAAGGCCAAACGCACAGCCTGAAGACACCGAGGTGTTGCAGTCCCTCAGTATGCAGGTATTTAACCAGACACCAACTCCACCAGTTCTACCAGAAAACACGCTTGGATCAAGCGCTTTGCATGGCTCCTAAGAGAGTAGAAGAACCAGGAGACTGGTCTTAACATGATGGCAAGATTTATCTGCAAAGCATATCCCCTGGCTGTAGGAAACACTCGATGCAGAGAAATACAGAATATGGACAAAGACAGGCCAAAGACAAGTTGGAGGAAAATACAAACTATAAAATGATACTGTAAACAATAAAAATATCAGCATCTTACATTAAATCATATACTCTTTCTACTTTGCATTAAATACTAAACTCATTCTAATTTTTCTTGTTGCTAAGGCAAATAACGCCATTCTACTACAGACATAGTGGTCAAGGTCCGAGAGTAAAAATTTGACCAGATCCAAATCAGAAAGTCCATTACGTGGCGGAATAATGGGGATAATGTACTTTGACCTAGGAGCTTCATGCCAAAGGCATCTCAGAATATAATGTACTAAATCATCTATTTCCCCCAAATCACAAAGACAAAACCTAAGGGGGGCAGGAATCCCAAGAAAGCGTCCTGTCCTGATCACTGAGGGCATGGATTGGAATCTTAAAGCCGTAAAAGCCGATCTTAATTCCAGGGTGGTTAACTTCTCCAAGTAAGGGGACCTACGGTGATCCCTTTAAAAAAACTTAAAAAATGGAGCTGCAAAACAACGTGCCATCACATCCTGATCCATAATCCCATCAATTTTGAACACCCATTCTTTCAATTCCTGTATTTGGGTCTTTTTCTTTAATAGATCATCAGGAATTGAAGATTTAATTTGAATCAAAACCAAATGGTCACCTAGTTTCTTAGAAGATTTCAGGAGACAACTTAAAACTTAACCCCCCCCCCCAGGGAATCCTGGGGTCGTTCTCTACGGTGATCCCTTTTAAAAAACTTAAAAAATGAAGCTGCAAAACAACGTGCCATCACATCCTGATCCATAATCCCATCCATTTTGAACACCCATTCTTTCAATTCCTGTATTTGGGTCTTTTTCTTTAATAGATCATCAGGAATTGAAGATTTAATTTGAATCAAAACCAAATGGTCACCTAGTTTCTTAGAAGATTTCAGGAGACAACTTAAAACTTAACCCCCCCCCCCAGGGAATCCTGGGGTCGTTCTAAACATTTTCTCCAATAGGATAAAATTCTAACATTGACTCTGGCATTCAATGAGCTAATTCCCAGTTCAGCCCTCATAGTGGTTAAGTGCACGGACTCCCTCAACACTCCACATCGCAGGAGCTCCCTTCAGATCATGTTTCAGTCTGCATGTCTGTTCATTAGCAGAAGAATTAATATTCATGTTACCAAGAGATGCTGGCCTGCTATTCCTATCACTCATTCTCTTGCATAACCTAGAGAACCTCTATGATCTCCTGAGAGTGAGTCCCTAGAGAACCTCTATGATCTCCTGAGAGTGAGTCTAAGGCTGCAACTGTCTGCTCCTTGAGGACATTCTGCCAACAGTTATTTGGACAGAATATGAGTTACACAAAGATATTCTGGATGGATTTGGCTGTAAGGAAACATGGCAGCAAGTCAAAGAATGTGGCTCTGTTTTAAAATTCTCGCAGCATCAAAAACTGCATCCTTGTATCAGGAAACATCATTCACCACTGATCTGATGCTTATAGCTCAATGTTCTATATCCACATATCAGATTGGATCCCACCTAGAATTTCCGAGGGTATGAGGGGGCAATTTCTTCCAGCATCCCCATCCTGCAGGAGATCGGATTCCCCCTCCAAGCTACTCCTGCAGGGGGGTCTTACATCCCTCCACTAACAGCATTTGGGGGAACATTGAGGGCTGCTGCGGGAGGGGAGAATCTGCAAGAATCAACACCCCCTACACACACACACACACTCTCTAGTTAGGATCTCAGGCACTGTGAACCACAGTCAGGAGACTTCCACCGCAACTGCTTTTCAGTTGGGACAACATACAAGGTACCGCTGTTGTGAAAAGGCTTGAATGGTTGCAAAAGTGGACAGGAATTGACAGGTGCAAGGCACCAAGGAAACATTTTGGGAATTCTGTCAAAACATTTTTAACCTAGATTCAGCATTAATCTTTCCACAATCCACCTTTATGACTGTGAAAAACCTGGCAGCTACTCAACAAAAGAGATCAAATTCAAGAGTCTACATACAGAACATTATGACATTATCACAGAAAGGTAAGCCTGCCACCTGGTGGAGAGTGAAAATAACTCAAAAGCATCACAAGAGCATCACCTCGTTACAACAACGATGTTTAATACCAGAAGTCATCAAGAAATTTTCTTAAGTGTGGACACCTGAAGATGGTTATCATATCATCTCCTCTCTAGGCTAAACAGGCCCAGCTCTTTCAACCTTTCCTCATACGACTTGGTCTCCAGGCCCCTCACCATCTTCCTTGCCCTCCTCTGGACACGTTCCAGAGGATATAAAAGACATAAGGTGTCTACGGGAAGAAGCAGCCCTGGTAGCCCAGAGCCGCCTGGTCCCGTCAGAGCCCAGAAGCGAAGCTAAGTACTGAATGGGGGGGCCACCAAGGAAGACGGGGGTGCTGTGGAGAGGAAGGTAACGACAGACACCCCCCCCCCGCTCATCTCTTGCTTTTAGAACGCCATGAGGCGGACCTTCTAGGGGTCACTAGGGTCAGTTGCAACTCAATGGCACACTTGGCCTATGGGGGGGGGGGAGGACGCATATTAGCAAAGAGAGAGCCTAAGTGTCAATGCAGCTGCCCTAGGAAAACACAGCAAAATGTGACCCAGGAAACAAAAAACAAAAAAACAACAGTTGCTACACTATGGAAATGTGAAGGTGGTTCAACAGTTTAAGGCTTCTCGGTTTTCCAGTAAAGTCAGAACATTTTAGTCAACAACAAAAGCAAGATGATTTGCCCTATTAGGATTTGTCATTCATTATTTATCTGTTGAGAGCCAACAGACAGCAGAAGAATGGCCGAGTCACAGTAGCTTTAAAAAGCAGAGTCCGAGTGCCACAAGCAGCCAGCAGTGTTTCAGCAGCTCCCTCCCCCCAGGCACAGTGTGCTCCTCCAGCAAGAGGCACTGGGGAGCCCCGCGGGCCGGCTCCCGTAGGGGAAGAGGGGCAGCCCAGCTGGCTTTCATGGGAAGAAGCGGAAGAAGGCAACCCCAGACCCCCCCCACAACACAGAGGCCCAGGAGTCAGCTGTCAGGTCCCTTCTGGCCGGGGGCCGGCTGCCCAGCCGAGGCGCCTTCCGGGCCCTGAGACGCCTGGCTGGCAGGCTCCATCCGACTCATCCTCTGAGGGGTGCTCTTGCCTCCAGCTGCCCCCCGCAGAAGTTTGAGCTCATCCCCCTTCATTTGGGGGCACCTTGGCTCCCCTGCTGGCCTGGCCCCCACAGCCAACACTGCCTCACTCACAGTAACCGCTCCAGTCAGCCAGCCAGCCCCCCCCCCCGTGGCGGTGCCGCTTCTCCTCACTCTCCCAGTGTGGCCAGAGAGTGGCTGCCCTGCGGGATCAGGAAGGTCCAGTGGGCTTCTGCAGAGGACTAGAGCCAGGTGAAGGCCGGGCAGGTGGAACCCACCGCCCACCCCCACGACTGTCATCAGCACAAGCCGGCAGGACCTGGCAAGCACGGGAAAGAGAGCATGGGAACCCGGGGCTGGCACATGAGGTCTGTGCTGCTGCATGTGCTCGTGAAGGAGAGGCCCTTTCTTTGCACTGTGTGCACATTACACACGAGAGAGAGACACAGCCTGGGTGTTCACACAGGACAAAACACATGCTGCAGCATGCGCTGCATGGAAAAGGGGCAGAAAGATGTACTTCAACAAAAAAACAGTAGTGAGACAGAAGTGTGTTTGTGACGATGCAAGGGTGCTCTGTTTGCATTGCCCGTGAGAGAAGGGCTACTGCACAGTTCTGTTCTGCAGTTCTGCGGGAGGGGAACAGAGAGAATTTGTATCTATTAGAGAGCCTCCATCTGTCTCTACAAATGTACAGACATTTTCTACACACTGAATTCTTTAACTACATAGATGGTCTTCCACCTTCAGTGGTTGCCTGTGTTTTGGTTCACTCGCTCAAGCATCTCCACCAAAGCATCAGCTTTGCTAGTTCTGCCATGGGTTCATGTGACTGACAGACTGTCGTCACACCAAGTCTCTGAAGGCGGGGCCGGGGAACCATTTCTCCACCTCTTGGGCACTGGCTTATGGGGTGCCGCAAAGCTCCCTCCAGGCTTCCCTTAACCTGCCACTGCTGAGGGAAGGAAGTCATCTGGAGACTCGTCATCAATATGCTGGTGCCATCTCCTTCTCTCCTTTCCATCTAATTCTAGGGAGATGATGAAAACCCTTGAGAAGCAGTGCCTGGATTCACTCTGGGTCTGGATGTGAGAGAACAAGTCCACTCCACAGAAAACGAGAGCACTACAGAGTAAAGCTGATCTTGGAACAGGTGTGCCGTCCATTTGGGACAGGACTGTATGCCTCCTGAGAATCAGTCTGGAATGCTGAGGATGCTCCTGAATCCACCACTGCTGCTGTAGAAACAGATCACACAGGTGCCCAGAGAGTGGAAGCCTCTTCGGTGGGTTCCACCATTCCCCAGAGGAGCCAGAAGGGAAGAACTTCTGTGACAGACGGTGCTTTGAAAACTCTTAAGTGCTGTATACCCCATGGCCCTTCACCACTCGAAGGAGTCTCAGAGTGGCTTATATTCCCTTCCCCTCCCCACAAGAGACACCCTGTGAAGCAGGTGGGGATGAGAGAGCTCTTTTGAGGACTGGGAAGGTGGCAAGGAGGAGTGGGAGGATCACGGAAGACGCCCACTCGTGCCAGAAAAAGGGACAAAAAGAAGCCAT